AGAACCGAACACCTGAACCCTTTTTTACATGGAAAAACCACAAAAAAAAAAAAAAACAAAAAAAAAAAAAAACGGTTTTGTCATCATTTGAATTTCTATGACTGAGTTTTTTTTTTATGTTATATAATCTGCTGTTAGAGTAGAAATGTTGTTTACAGTTATGGAGTGTTTGGTACTGTTGCCTCACATTAAAAAAAACAAGAAAAAAACCCCCCACAAAACAGCCAGTTCTTATTCTCTGGAAATATTTTTTTTTTTGCATCTGTGTGAAATTTGCGGACTCTCCCTTTATTACTGGGCTTTTCACAGGTACTTTTTCCCCTCTACGTCAAATAATATTCAGATTTTTATCAGGTTAGCTAGGTACTTTAATTGACCATGGGTACGTGAGAACAGTGTCCCCAATCCCTGGTCCGGGGACCGGTGCTGGTCCATAGGTTGTCTGGTACCGGACTACAGTATAAAAGATATTTTATTTTGAAATTTTAATGATCCTTCAATGACGGCGCAGTATTACCAGTTCGCAGAAATGGCTGATACCGGCCGGTTGGTTCTTGGTATAAAAAAGGTTGGCGCCCGCTGCGTTAGAATAATATTGTTCTTAATATTGAGGAGACTGGTTTAATTTAATTTAATCAAAAATCCTGCCTCTATATTACATGATATACATAACATAATATATAATTATCACATATGTGCTGTCAAACTGAAGCGGAAAAGTCTGTTAGCGCGCTGTATTTGCAGAGACGTTTGTGTCAAAATATGTCAAAATATCTCCTTCACTTGAAACGATAGCTTCGAAAAAGAAGCTGCAGACGACTACAGTTTGTCTGAAGCCCTCCTCGGCATCTTTTACCACTGCTGCTTAATTAGGTGATGTTGTGCAATGAGACCTGTTTTGCACTTGACCTTTCTGAGGGTAAGGCGAGCACTGCAGCATGTGTTCAACAGACCAAAGGGAATGAGGTGAGATGAAAGGTTTTCCCATTGGTTCGTTTTAGCAGGCTTAACATACTGTAAGCTTAATGTGTGGTCATTTTACTGCAATATTTATTTCAAATATATATATATGTTTAAATATATATATAAATATATATATATACATATATAAATATATATACATATATTTATATATGTATATATACATATATTTATATATGTATATATACTGTACATATATTAACGTGTGCTATTTATATATGTATATATACATATATTAATGTGTGTGTATATGTGTGACTGTGTGAAAATGGTATGCCACGTGACAGGTCGTTGCCCTCCCTACCACCAGAGGGTGGTGTGCAAACCTGCTGGCTCTCATGATTAGGGTGGGAGTATATGGCCATATATACATATATATAAACAGGTGGGAACACACCTGCCTTTCCCTCTTCCTTCCACTTCCTCCATGAGGTGAGTACATAGGCCTGCGTTTTAATTGTTGTCGAACGTCATTGTGGGTGCGTGTCGGTTTACGGTTAGTTTGTTGTGGTTTGTTTACATCCTGTGGCTGACCTATAACCCCACACTCCTCCGTCTGGAGATGCACTGCTTAGGCCTAGTGTGTGTGAGCTGAGGTAAAGACCGTTTTCTATCTGAGAATGAGAATGAGAAGCTAAATGAGAATATATAAATTTGATCGTTTAAAATGATAACATGGCTAACATACCATCGTCGTTGAGCGACTCCACTGACATGGCCCTGGCTAGGAAACCTAGTGAATCTGTGGACTGGGAAAGAATCCTACGTATTCCAAGAGGCGTGTCTTCATTAAGGTTCCTGAAACACACGTCAACAGGAATTATTATTCTAGTGGCGGCGTAAGCAAGGCTTTTCTTCATTTAGGTTTAGCGCCTGAGCTAGGCTATTAGCTCCACTTGCCAGGCTAAGCTTTGAGCTGGTTTGTATAATAATAAAAAAAAATATATATATATATTTACATGTGCCCTCAGATACTTTATTTCATTCTGTGAATTATGACTAAGAAGTTAAGATGACAATGACAAGGACGTAGCCATTGTACGAGCCATTTTTTCAGTACGTTTTTCTGGCCGTTGAATGCTAAGCTATGTTAGCAAAGACAACTTTCTGTCTTTTTTTTATTATTAAAGCAATTACACGCACACTTATTATATTATTATATTATTAATTAATACATTTCCTACGTCCATTAGAAGATTAATATTTACTGAGTTAAAGACTGTTAAGACTTCTCACCCTGAGATGTTGTTGGTGGAGACACTCTTGGACAGCGATAGGCTGGAGCGACCACGGCGAGAACTGCGCAGCGACTGATAGAAGCTCTCAGAGGGGTAAATGGCTGAAGAAGGACGTTCACGCATTACTGGACCTTTCAAAGTAAAATAAGAGCAGATCAAATGAAAGAATTAGTGTTGAAAATGAGAGCATAGCTACATTCGGAAGAAATCACCCGTAACCGGGATTCTGTGTCTTACCTTTTGTGCGCAGTGCGACATTTTGCAGAGAAGAGTTGTTCCTCAGCAGGGCTGTCTTTGACTGCTGCGTGTGAAAAGAAAGTACATCAGAAAATAGCCATATTTAATGAAATATAACATGGAAAAAAACGTTTTTTTCATAAAACTGGTTTGAACCAGTTTGAACCCCCTAGTGGGCCAGTTTTTGCCCGCCTGCCGTATGTTTGACACCCCTGTTTTAAACGAACAGCTGCCTTGCCTTATTTCTTATTTGAAAGAAAAACGTATGCGTGTGCTTCTTACCCGTTGTTTCATTTTGGCACAGTTTGGCAAAGTATCTCGACAGCGGTTGTGGATTGTTGCATTGCATGCTGGGGAAAAAAAAGATAGTCAATACCACAGAAGACTTTTTTTTGTCTGTTATTCATATTGCAGTATTGCATAATTTGATGTCTAAATAGATTAGGAATCCATGATAAATAAAAAACCATGAAAACATATATATGTATATATTTATGCATATATATGTATATATGTAGTATATATGTACATATATGTATATATGTGTATATATACTGTATATATGTATATGTACTGTATATGTGTACACACACATATATATATGTATGTATATATATATATATATATATACATACATATATATATGTGTGTGTACACATATACAGTACATATACATATATACAGTATATATACACATATATACATATATGTACATATATACTACATATATACTACATATATACTACATATATACTACATATATACATATATGTATATATATATATATATATATATATTGGATCCAATATCTGTTGGAACCTTTCAGAATGTGCATTAAATGTTAATTACTCGGGCAGTTGAGCGCTTCTTTGGCGGTGATACTTTTGTGGCATGCTGCGCAGAGTGTCGTCCCCGATACTGTTAGGGATGTGAAGAAGTGTCCGTTGCTGTAACGCGCTTCTCTTTCCCGTAACGCTTTTTCCTGTTCCCTCATCCGTTCCCTCTCTTTATTCTGAAAAAGAAGAAAAAAAATACGTCAAAGTTGCCTCGTGCCTCTCATAGATGTCATCTTGTGTCTACTGTTAACAAATGCAACTGTCAACTGAAACTGTGAGTGTTTTTTAAAAGTGAAAAGACCATTTAGAACAAGGGTTCCCAACCCCTGGTCCGGGGGCCGGTCCCGGTCCGTAGGTCATTTGGTTCGGGACCGCAGTGGGACACAGTGAAAAAATGCACTTCAGTTTTACTAATTTACTTCATTCCAAAATAATCCAGTCATATCCCTTTACTTTTGTTATTCAAAGATAATCTAGCAATGTTTCAAAACAACAGGTCAAAAAAAAAAGGTCTAAAAGATGTTTTATTTTGAAAATTTAATGATAATCAACAATGTATTATATATATATATATATAATACATATACAATATACATATTGTATACATATACATATTGTATATATACATATATACAATACATATACATATATATATATATAACGAGTATTACCGTTCTCCAGTAACAGCTGATATCGGCCGACCGGTACTTGGTACAAAAAACTACTTACTGTTACTTTTACTTCTCTTTCTGTTCCAGTAACATATATTTATATAACATATTCAGCAATGTTAATTTACCTGGATTAATCATAATAAATCACACTTAGTTATAATCACAATGAATCAAAATGTAATCCTTAATGTTTAAAATTGTTTAAAATGATTGTTCAAAATTAAAGTAAAAATATATAAACACCTGTCAAGTGTCTGTTTAGTTCTAAATATATTACGGAAGATGTATTTGCTCGTGTATAGTCTGACCTACCTTTTGCACCTTGTGATAAAATACAAGTGGACAACAGACTATATTAATCCTTAAAGCAACATCTGTCTGTGCTAGTTTTTTTTTAATATTTTAATTTGTGTCTGTTTTTGTGAAACAAGAAGCCGTTGTCATGATCACATGAACATCCCTATAAAAGCAGAAGTGAAAGAAGAACGATTGCTACACCCTCACTGTAACCACATGGCTGTCACTGCCTTCCCAGACATCTCACAGCACGTGTCAAACACAAGGCCCTTTTTGTCTATCTATCTATCTATCTATCTATCCATCCATCTATCTATCCATCCATCTATCTATCTATCTATCCATCCATCTATCTATCTATCTATCCATCTATCCATCTATCATCCATCCATCCATCCATCCATCCAGCCATCCATCCATCCATCCATCCATCATCCATCATCCATCATCCATCCATCCATCCATCTATCTATCTATCTATCCATCCATCTATCCATCTATCATCCATCCATCCATCCATCCATCATCCATCCATCCATCCATCTATCTATCCATCCATCTATCTATCTATCCATCTATCTATCTATCCATCTATCCATCTATCATCCATCTATCCATCCATCATCCATCATCCATCCATCCATCCATCTATCTATCCATCCATCTATCTATCTATCTATCTATCCATCAATCTATCTATCTATCTATCTATCTATCCATCAATCTATCTATCTATCTATCTATCTACCTATCCATCTATCTATCTATCTATCTCTCTATCTATCTATCTATCTATCTATCTAATATTCTAATATAAATCTAACTAATTTCCACTTAAGCTACAAATATTGTACCAAAAATAATAAATGTGTAATAAAAAAATTATCAAGTTAGGAAATGCAGCAACACGGACTTTATTATAAGCTCCTCCGCCTTGAGTTTGACACATGTTGTAGAATTTGTCTCACTGTTTGAATACAATAAAGCAGCAGCTTCCCTCAGGGTACTTAAGGTAAAGAGCACCGGCGCCGGATTCACTCACTTTGATTATGATGAATACCAAAAAAATACCATGCTATAGCCAATCACAAACAACATCAAGGATCAAAACATCAATACACGTCACCAGTCAAACTCAGGGCCGATAAACAGACTCAAATAACCAGTGGTTATCTTGATAAGAGAACATCAGGCTCTAAAAGCAGCAGGTTATGAGCTGTGTATTTGTGTGAAATGGTCCACGCATTTAGAGCAACCGCTTGCTAACAGGATGGAAACACTTCATTAACCCAGATCAGTTCTGTTGCTGCAGCATAGCACTGATTATTTTAAGTGACGTCTTCCTGAAATATAACTGTCACTGAGACGCAGAGGGTCCAAACAGGAAGTGACACAGTTTTCAACACCAAAAGGTGCAGATCAGGGACTGTGACGATCCCCCCTCCTCTGCCTGCTGCCTTCAGGCTGCTGCTACTGGAGCCTGAAGGCAATCACCCAGTGAATTACCTCAGTCAAACCTTATTGCACAGTATGTGTACATATATTTGTATTCAACTGTATATACATTGTATTGTGTTATTGGATTTTACTTTTCATTGATTCTTTATATCTCTTCTCTTTGAAATGGATGTAACATATTACCCGGACTGCTGTGGTCGCGCCGGAGTATAAGTCGCATCAGACAAAAAATGCATAATGAAGAAAAAACAAACAAACACAAAGCACACATAAATCACGCCGGCGTATGAATGTGTACATTTTCAGTGGTACAGGAGTAGCAGATACTTGTACACAAGCCTAGAGTGCCCTCTAGTGGCTGTCAGTGTGAAAAAAATGACCATGTAAATTTTTAGTAGTACAGTAGTAGCAGAGTAGCAGATACTTGTACACAAGCTTAGAGTGCCCTCTGGTGGCTGTCAGTGTGAAAATACCAAACACGTACATTTCCGGTGGTACAGAAGTAGCAGATACCTGTACACAAGCCTAGAGTGCCCTCTAGCGGCTGGCAGTGTAAAAATAACTAACGTACATTTTCAGTAGTACAGGAGTAGCAGATACTTGTACACAAGCCTAGAGTGCCCTCTAGCGTCAGTGTGAAAATAACAAACATGTGAAATTACATATTTTAATATATACGTCGCACCTGAGTATAGTATCGCAAACCCCGCCAAAGGGTAAAAAAAAAGTGGAAAAATACGATAGGTACAAAAACAAATTTCAGTGCGCTTTGTACGACGGTGTACGTGTCAAATAAAACTCTTGAACGTGATCGTGAACATTTTAAATAGTTTGGTAAAAATGATCCTCACGGAGAAGTCAGCGCATTTATCATTATCTAAAAGCGTGAGTCAGCGGTGTGAGAGGTTTGAGCTCTCGCTAATTCTGTTAGAATCCTTAACTTAGTTAACGTTTCCACGCTCTGATTGCAAAAAAGAGCGCAGATTTCGTTCCGAATCAGGAAAGCTAATCGTATGGATTTTAAAGTTTATATTACAGCAGACTTCCTTATGCTTCTTTTACATTTTTTTTAATTTAAAAATCCCATCGGCCTTGGTCAGTCCCAACTCAGTGAAGCAGTAACACAGAAGGACGGTGTTGCCGATGGTTCATTTTAAGCCGGTAGATTATGTAATCTCCTGCTGCTCACGTTAGCTCTTTTGGTTTGGTGTTTTGTGGGATGTATTTTCAGGAATATTGCGTTTTTTTTTTCCAGCCCCTTACTTCAAACCCAATCCCAGCTGTCCAAGCACTGATAATTCAATTCACTCAAATTTAGCAAGGACCTTCAGTGCGTCCCCCGTAAGGACCAGGCGTCCTCACAATTTGTACAAATGTCTCCGCAAGTACAGCTTTAACAAGGCCACACACATACACACTGCCATTTCTATGGCAACGGTTGCTGTACTCAAATATTGAGTAAAAAAAGCACACTGTGTGCAGTCGGAAACACACACACACACACACCACCTACAGTTATGAACGTGGTAGATACAGCAACGTTAGGAAGTGCTGTAGGTGTTTGTAATTTTCAGTTGTTGGAAGTCGACCAAAAAACAACCTCGTATAAATTGAGGTCTATATCAAAACTAGAGATGTGTCCAAGAACGCCCCCTAGACCTTGCGTAGTGCACTACATAGGGGGTACTCCATTTTGTGGAAACCACTATAAAGGGTACTCGATGCATCCCACAATTCATCGCGGGAACCTAGCGTACAACCGATGATCACTACCCGAGCAATATATCCCATCATGCATTGCAGTCATGTCTGCCCGCGTCTGTCCGTTTTAATTGCGCAACAGTAACTGCGCACCGAAGTAGTATCCAAAACCGCTTTCAATTTCATGCCCACTATATCAAGGGTTCCCAACCTCTGGTTCGGGGACCGGTGCCGGCCCGTAGGTCATTTGGTACCGGCCCACAGTGGGATAATTTGAGGAAGGGTATATCTCTACGATAATGTGATTTACTTGGTCATTTGGTACCGGCCCACAGTGGGACAATTTGAGGAAGGGTATATCTCTATGATAATGTGATAGTTTTTAATTAAGTTTTCTAATTCAAGGGTTCCCAACCTCTGGTTCGGGGACCGGTGCTGGCCCGTAGGTCACTTAGTACCGGTCCACAGTGGGTCCACAGTGAAAAAATGTACTTCACTTTTACTAATTGACTTCATTCCGAAAGAATCCAGTCATAAGTATCTACCTTTTTCATAATAATCTGGCAATATTTCAAGAGTTTCAATACTAACAGAATAAAGTCAAAAGATGTTTTATTTTGATAAATGTAATAATCCTTCAGCAATGCCGCGGTATTACCGGTCTGCAGTAACCAAAAAAAGGTATAGTGCGATATAATTCCCTATAACAAGTGAGTTCTTCCTCTGGATTACTTCTGAATCGTAACTTTCATATCTATAAGTAATCAAGGCGATAACTTTTACGTTCAAATATGGCCACAATTAGAGGAAAAAGCAAGATAAGACACAACAGCAGGCAAAACACAGGCGCTGGCACCGTATGCGTCCGATTGACGTATCCCAATTGCTGCGTGCTGCGAGGACGTTAGCGATAATCTGTCTTTTTAAAACCATCAAAGTGTGTCTTGAACGCACACATTTAAGTCCTTCGAAAGGTTACCTCGAAGAACTATGTAAAACTATGTTTCACTCCTACGGACTGCCAGTGAATGTGACGTGTCCTAGCTGTCGTCCTAAAGTACAGGGCCCCGTGGACAGGCAGAAATGTGAAGTGCATGAGTCGGCTTTGACACCGTTGTACAGGAAGAGAGCAACAAAAACAGGAAATGAAAGTATGAACACATCGTTCGGAGCCTTACCTTTTCCTTTTTTTTTTTTTAAATTTAAACGCGAATCACGCAATTATACAGAAGTAGGAATCGGCTGACGATTTTACACTCACCCGCAAGTTGACCTCCCTCATCCTCTCCTGTCGCAGTTTTGACAGATTGGTGACTCTTGACATTGTGACAGCTCTGGTTTGTTTCTTTTTTTTTTGGACAAAATTCAAGGCAGGTTGGTGGTAATCAGTACGTCAGAAAACTCCAGACAATATCAAAGTATATGCGCATTTTTCTGCAGGTCCCCTATGAGAAAAAACGAATCTCCAATTACGTCTCACCGACCAACTGCAGTATGCCTCTGCCTTTAGTGAAGAGGCTGTTCCTGTGAGAAATCTGACTTCTGAATCATCACCGCCCCCTCTCTCTCTCTCTCTCTCTCTCTCTCTCTCTCTATCACACACACACACATATATTCAAATGCACACACGGCGTTCTGCTTTCTTTTTTTTAAAATGCCTGCAAAGGACTATTATTTGCTCAAAGCTTCATTTCGAAAAAAAAAAGCATTTCTGACTTTTCATAAATTTAGTCGGTGTGGAATATTTCCTGTTTAATGTTGAAGTACACTGTGGGAGAAACAGGTATTACATCATCGCTGGATAGATGGGTAGAAGTGGAGGCCAAACTGGGTTTCGGAACGCTCGAGTCAGCCGATGTTTGTTCTGGTTGCAGAGGAATCACAGTCAGCTTTAGTCGTTTGACTGAGGCAGAGGCTAGGTTTGCGACTTATATTCAGGTTGTGTCTTATGCTCTATTTTAAAATATATATCATTTCACGTGTTTGTTATTTTCCAACTGAGAGCCACTAGAGGGCACTCTGGGCTTGCGTACCAGTATGTGCTACTCCTGTACCACTTGGAAATGTATATGTTCGTTATTCTCACATTAGGAGCCACTAGAGGGTGCTCTAAGCTTGTGTAACAATATCTGCTACTGCTGTACAACTGAAAATTTTCATTTGGTATTTTCACACTGATAGCCGCTAGAGGGCGCTCTAGGCTTGTTTACCAGTATTTGCTCCTCCTCCCCCACTGAAAATGTACATGTTTATTATTTTCACACTGAGAGCCACTAGAGGGCGCTCTAGGCTTGTTTACCAGTATTTGCTCCTCCTCCCCCACTGAAAATGTACATGTTTATTATTTTCACACTGACAGCCACTAGAGGGCACTCTGGGCTTGCGTACCAGTATGTGCTACTCCTGTACCACTTGGAAATGTATATTTTCGTTATTCTCACATTGGGAGCCACTAGAGGGTGCTCTAAGCTTGTGTAACAATATCTGCTAATGCTGTACACCTGAAAATTTTCATTTGGTATTTTCACACTGACAGCCACTAGAGGGCACTCTGGGCTTGCGTACCAGTATGTGCTACTCCTGTACCACTTGGAAATGTATATGTTCGTTATTCTCACATTGGGAGCCACTAGAGGGCACTCTGGGCTTGCGTACCAGTATGTGCTACTCCTGTACCACTTGGAAATGTATATGTTCGTTATTCTCACATGGGGAGCCACTAGAGGGTGCTCTAAGCTTGTGTAACAGTATCTGCTACTCCTGTATCACACATTATTATATTCTTATTCATTTCTTATTTATTTATTTGTATTCTTTTTGCTTATTTATTCTATTTTATTCATTATGTATCATTTATTTCTCCTGTATTATTCGTATTTTATTTCTCATTATTTCTTATTTAATTTACAATAGAAAAATCCAATACACTATTATATTTCCATCTAAAAAAAAACACACAACGCATTTCATTTTGTTTCATTTATTATTTGTATACTAAAATATCAACAGTTTTCTCTGTGGGGTTTTCCCCCCACAGTAGGATATGTGCATAATACAGTACTGTACAGATCAAGCCTGAAGAGTCAGTCATTCTGAGAGGATGAGATAGCACCGTTACAAGTGAGGCACTGAACAGGTGGCAGCTTTTAAAGTTCAAGTACATTCCTGTGGCAGAGGCTCCGTCACCGTCCGACACAACGTTTGCACAAAATCTGTCACATGCAAATTTCAACTGCATGTCAGAACGCTATCTAGAAACGAACAACGGAAGAAAAAAAAAAAAACCAAAACACTTTCTCGGAGAACTAAAAGCAGTAGTACAAAAAGGCAGCAGCAGCGTTAAAAAAAAACAAAACACGTAACACGATTTCTTGGATACGTAACAAATAAAAATTAGCTATGTGTCACTAGAGACACCAGAGAAGCGTTATAAAAACAAACAAACAAACAAACCAACATGTCCTTAAACAAATAAATAAAAAATAAATATCTTTTTTTTTTTCTTTATAGAAAAACACAAAAACACACAGGTTTAATTCTTCGTAATAAATCTCCAGCATTTCGTCAGCGTTTTGACATTACTATTGCTTCATAAAAATGTTTGTTGCGGCCTTGTTAGTTTCCCATTTTCATCTTTTGAGTTTTTGAATGTTAATCAGATGTATTCCTTCTGTCTTTCTGCAGTTTTCCAGTAAAAATAGTCAAAGATTTCAGCAGCAAAAACGAGCAAAATTGTCCCCATTATAATAAATGACACCCTTGTAGTTCAAGCTAAAGCTGCTAGGTGTCACTCTTCTTCTGGGTCTGTTTGACCTAATAGGCTCTTTTGTTTTTCTATGTCGGTGACTGCACAGCATTTTGTTTTTATTTTTTTTATTTTTTTTTTATTTTAGTCGGACCCAGATTGAATCCTTGCCCTGCGTTATATTACGTTTTTCCGAGAAAAGCAGGGCCGGCGCTAGGCATATAATAACATTGGATCAATCTGACCCCCACATTACCATATTTCTTGCACTTTTTTTCATCCTTTGGCTGGCTTTGCGACATATGTATATTAAAATATATAATTTCACATGTTCGTTATTTCACACTGACAGCCACCAGAGGGCACTCTAGGCTTGTGTACCAGTATCTGCTACTCCCGTACCACTGGAGATTTTATTTTTATGGTGAGAGCCACTAGAGGGCGCTCTAGCTAGCTGGTGCGACCTATACTGCCGAGCAACTTATAGTGCAGAAAATATGGTAATAAATAAATGCAGACTATATATATACTGTATGTGTGTTATATGTGTGTTCTGATCATTTGAACATGATTAAACAAGCTTATCGGGGGGGGGGTTCCTAAGGTCTGGGGGTCGAGACTAATCCAAATTTGGTACCCAACCCTCTTTCTCAAATATTGTTTTTTTTTAATTATATAAGTTATTATGATTTAGGTGCAATCACCGTCCAGTTTGTTTGCAGAAAATGTGTTTCTATTTGCGGCCAACAACAAAAAAAAACAAAAACATTCTGTGTGCAGTCAAAAAATGTCATTCGGCAACTAAAGGTCTATATTAGGGATGTCCGGTATTAACTTTTTGCCAATATCCGATATGCCAATATTGTCCAAACACTTCATTTCCAATTCCGATATCAACCGATATCGATATAGCGGGGTAGTGGTTGGTGGACTGGTGGTTAACGACGTTAGGTTCCGCCTGCTCACTAAGGTGGATGGGTTACAGGCAGAGGACACATTGTGTGCAGTGGCGTTCTGTGCATCAGTGACAACAATTCATTTTCACTTTACGCCATCATCTGGTGAAACCGTGGCATTGCGTTATTGGGTTTTCATTATCGAAGGGAAACCCCATAACGATTCTTACAGATATTACGTAATTATGCTAATATCGGGCCGATAATATTGGACATCCCTAGTTTATACCCAAAATTACAGAGCAAATTTACAATGTGAACTCCTAACTAGTGGATTTTTTTTTTGAAAGTGGCGTGCCATGATTTGTGATTTTTAAAGGTACACACTGCAGCTTTAAGTGCACGTCTCAACAAAGGCAGACGTTTCCAGTGCCCCGTTGAGTGAAAACAGGAAGCCGGTGCAGCATCCTCCTTCCTTCAGCTGTTCAAGTTAGTGCAGGTTGTGCGATCACGATCACTGACGTCATTATTAGGGGACCGTGTGTAAACTGTCACATTCCGAACTTTTGTTCTCTGCAGGTGCGACATGATCGCAGTGCTCCGCGAAACAGGCCGTAGAGGTAGAGAAGTCCTCGATCACCATCGCCTCGCCGTAGGAGGGCGGCGGGAAGTCCTCCATGTCAGTCCTGGATCCAGGATCCACACCCGTCGGGTCAATATCAAAAACGCTCCGATTCGGCGGAGCGCTCACGGTGGCTCGTCTCAGTTCCAGCTGCTGCTCCGGGTCCCGCAGCTTCAACCTGCAGGGGCCTTTGTAAGGCAGCCGCTCCTCGCCATCTGAGAGGCAGATGATTGGAGGGAGATTTATGATTTCCTGCCGCAGGTAAGGGTAGACCGGCTGCAGACGATACAGATGCTGCTGTCGCTGCGGCTGCATGAAGGGCGGCCTGTGGAGATGGCTGTGGATCACCTTAAAAAAAAAAAAAAAAAAAAGAAAAAAATTATAGAATTTTTCTATTATTTTCTAATTGTCCCTAGTCTTTGTTTGAAAAAAAAAAAAAAACGAGAGAAAAAAATTAGATTTTTCTATTTTTTTTTTTCTAATTGTCCCTTGTCTTTATTTTGAGGTTCAGAAACGACTTTTCGTGTGATTTTTTTTTTTAATTTTTTTATCATGCCGTTTTCTTTTAATAGCAAACCCGCATGTTGGTTCTTTTTTAAACCCACTCCATCTGGCTTCCTGTTGATAATCCCTTTGGAAAGCGACATAATTATACTTATATAGAGAGAGATATTGCATGGCTAAAACGGTAGAGTGGTAGGACTCACGGCTTCCACCCGAGGGC